GATATTCATCATATTTTTCTATCTTGATGATAAATATTTGCCTCTGTTATTGCATCCAAACAATATTTAAGAAAATATTTGAGAGACTGAACTTTGATAGACTATCTCTTTCTCTTTTATGTTTATGGCCTTTCACCCTATCATAGCAGAAAATTAAATACATCAGGTAGAATTACTCTTCTTAAAAGGAAGGACTGTCTTAAAATAATGAATATCTTCTAGAATTTATTATATTAACAGGAGTTTCCGATTCATTGATCATTGATTTAGAGTATCTCAAAGAATAATAACAATGAGTGGAAAAGAATTTTAGAAAACACCAAGCATTCATGATAATGAGGTATCACATAAGTCACAAAACAATTATTTACATCAATACTCTCTCGTTATACAACTCTTAGTTAGCCTCCCCCCACCCGCCAAAATTAATTTAGAAAGAGTTAGAAGAAAGTTTTCAGAAAGCTTTTACCTTTAATTTTTTTTCTTAAAAGAGACTCAAGTGTTTCCAGCTCAATTCACGTACTGGCAAATAAACGAGCAATACGAAAGGTCTTTTTTGGCTTCTAGAGTTAAGGCTCAAGTGAAACATTTCCCTTTTCAAAATCTAGTACTCTCAAAAAAGTGTACCACATACACTTCCTTCTTTTCAAAGATTTTGAAGAGACCAAATATCAAGTCTATAGTACCAAATGCTGATACCTTACTCAGTAACTACAAAATACCATGGTAATTGATTATTTCAGAAAGTGAATGGCATATGGTGGCATCTGTATCCCAATGAAAGAAACTGCTTTTAGCAAACTACAGAATATGAAGAAACCTTAGAAAGTATCTAATCAAACTTCATTTTATGGGAGAGAAAATTGAAGATCAGAGAAATTAAATGACTTACCCAAGGTCACTGACAATAAGTAGCAAACTCAACCACTCCCTTTTCCAAAACAAGACACAATGAACTAATTGTAAGGCCTCAGGAGATTTGTATTCTTCTACTGGCACCACTATAAGATTTTTTAAAATCATTGTCAAAAACCATGTGAGAGCTTTGAAAATAAACTGAAGGTCTTGGTGGGAATAACAGAACTTGTAGAAGGAGCATGTTTAGTTCCTCAAAGCATAAGAATATTCATCTTATATGTAACAATAATAGCAGATAACACTTACTTGCATTATAAGGGTTTTACACATTGTAACTTCAAAACCATCGAAGATGTAGATTGTATTACTGACACTTCAGGGATGAGGAACCAAGCCACTGAACCGTTGGGAAATGTACCCGGGGCCACAGCTAGGAAGGAGCAGCCACAACTGAATCCCTGGCAATTTGGCACCAAGATTCCACTTTCAGTCATAACACTAATACCTAATTGTTTCACAATACAAAGTACAAGAAAGTAAACTTGACAGTTTCCTGACTGACAGCTGCACCCTGTAGAAGATAATATTTTAAAACTTTTGAGGAGACTTTAAAAAATTGAGAAACACTTAACTTCAACTTTATCAATTTCAACAAAACTGCTGATAAAGAAGTACACTGAAGGTCTGAATCTTTTTCCTGGATGATGCTAAAAGGAAAGGAAGAACAGGAATGAAAAAGGCAAAATAAGTGAACTGCTACACACAAACACACTCAGTTAAGCTTTTGACAGTTGCCAGTGTTCAATTCCCTTGAATAAAAGGGCTAAAAGTAAATCTAAAACTTCTTGTTTTAGATGTTAAAACTTTTCAATATTTTTGATGAGATAATTTTTTAAAAACAGAATGTAGGGGTCGGGGATTTAGCTCAGTGGTTTTGCCGCCTGCTGTGCAAGCGCAAGGACCCGAGTTCGACTCCCCAGTACAAAAAAACCCCCAAAAAACAACAACAACAAAAAACCCAGAATGTAGGAAATACAGAGAATCTAGCATCATTTAAAAAGAAAGGAAAACATTTATAACTAAATCTATTCGTTTATGTCACAAAAGTATATAAATGTGGAGTGAGAACAACTATTGATTTATTTAGATCTTGAGATTTACCTCATAAGCTTTCTGGACCACCTTCTTTAGGCATACCAATAAGCACTACAAAAATAGAAATACAGTTTTATGTTGAACTCATGCTCTTCAAAGTCTTAAAAAGTTCAAAGTCTGGGGCATAAAAATCTACAACTCCCAGTACGCTGTCATTATTTTATATGAACTGTAAACTCCTTTGCCAAGTCTGCCCACTCAGATATAGCGTTCTAGGGCCCTGTCCTTATACATGACACACATTCATCCCCAGGGTGACAGCTGAGAGTTCTTGTTTTTGCAGCCCCCATAGTCTGATGCAAACAATTAAAGGCACCTAAATCAGTCTGATTTAGCAGAATGCAGAGCCTACATCTGTAGAGTTTGCTAAATGTAATTTTTAAATTCATGGATCTGTGAGCTCATGATGTGATGGTTACTTGAAAGGACAAGTGAGAGACTGAAGAGAAGACTATGAAAAATGTAACCAGTGCAGTTAAGTCTTCGCACCCTACTCTGGTGACTTTGTTTACCTAGGTAAGGGATATTAAAGGGAAGACAGCAAACAGAAAGCAGTTACCACACAGAAATTAGATCCAAGCTGACCTCCAACAGAAAGGAAAAGGTAAGGCTACAAGAAGCCTATCTTTGCCCTAAAACAATGATTTTTCATAGTTACTGCCAAGCTTCCTACAGTATATTTTGACCACAAAATAACTTAATGTTCGTTGACGACAGCCACATGGAACTTGACAACCATATTTTAAAACCTTGGAGTGATTCATCACAATCTAAGAAGAACACTACCTGGAAAGAAAATACAGAAGCACACAGAGAACACTGAAGATTGATCCCAATATTTCCCTCTATCACTCAAAAATAAAAAATTAACAAGAAAGTGAAAAAAATTACCAACCTTGAAGTGTCAAATTCACAAACTCTAACCAGATTTAAGGAATTTCTCTCTTGAGCTCCATGACAACTACATCTAGAAATCATTTCAACATATATTTTAGAAAACCATCATTTCTAAGAGTTGATTGATTAAAGAAAAAGCTCTGTTCATCCTTTACTACAGATCCTGACTAAACACCAAAATAGTTCAACTGAGTAAAGCAAGTTGCATTTCTTAGTTAATTTCTGATACAAACCATGAGCAGCATTTGGTTTACTTCTCTGGCTAGTGATGCTAATACTCAGTCCTTGGGTTCTTTTATAGACCAGTCCTCACTCCCTATTAATAGACCATAAAGACTTTCTGACCCTAAAAGTGCTACTCTGATACACCAAACTATAAAGACCTCTGGTCTTGCTTCCAAAAGAAAACCAATCCTTAATAACCCTACAGTGCTTTTCTGAAGGCCCTTAAACACATAAATCCCTCTGTCTATGGTTTATCCTCCTCTCTAGCAAGCACAAGGACATATCTTAATATTCAAAATAACTTTATTGTGTCTTTGGAAGGAGCAATCCTTCATTCTCTGGGGGATGTTTTGTTTTTCAACCCTCTTGGACATCTTTCTTCACATCAAAAGCATTAATTTTCCTTCTCCAAAAGCTCTATAGTAGAAATTGCCTACTTAGCATTAACCATCACTTAGAAAAACGTGGAGAACATCTATACATGAAAATATATGATGCACAAGGGTATACAGTGGATATACAAGTGTAGGTGCAGACACTGAGACAAACACACACAATTACACAGCTTATAGAAAATGAACAGTTTCAGTAATTAACATATAGTTACCCTTATAATGTATAAGTATACAGAGATCTAAATTTGGGCTTTTATGTATCCATTCAGACAGTATATACTCATTATAATTTGTGAAATTTACCTTTGCTTTAGCAAATACACCAGCAGTCAACAGCAATTATCTCTGGGTGGTGGGTTTCAGGTAACTTTTTCTACTTCTCTGCTCTTCTCATCTATTCCTATAAGAACATTCCTTCTATTATCTGAGTAATAAATCTACTAAGCAAAAAAATCCAAATCTATTTCTAGAATGATTCTACTAATACCAGAAAACACAATGAATCCAACTATAAACATGTGCACACCAAGGAACAGTTTTACTGTAAATCAGACAAAAATACAGTGTCCAATGGAGGCTCAATCACTGAAAAATGCCATGGCCACCAGGACCTGTGGCCCAATGGGCAGTGAAGTCTGGGACAACATTTACATAGACATCAACAAAGAGTTCGTACACATGACCAGTCGTACATAACTGGTCTCGTCTCCGTATGTACACAACCTCAAGCACACACTCCATCATCTGTGTCAAGGTGACAAAGAAGTAATGTAATATTGTAGTGAAATCACCTATTCTCTTGTAGGGCCTGGCTGTGGGACACTGAGTGATCTTCGGTACCTCCTTATCACTTTGAATAACCCTGATCCTTGATTACCCTCCTGGAAACCAGAGCAGAAGGTGACAGACTTGCCCATAACAGCTCCACAGGGCTCAAGAAGCTACAGTCTCCACGCTCAAGTGTGTTCGGGCATATTTTTTATCCCTCTCTTTTTATGCACAGTATGTCAAATACAAAGGTTACAGGAAAACACCTAGGGTACTAGGATTATAATATCTACCTGTGGATCAGACTCTTAAGAAAAAGCTCACATCCCTGTACCAAAATTCTCGTACTGTGGAGATAGGAAGTGTTAACAGTATATAATAATGTTTTATTCTTATTTGGAATAAAATATCAATCCCCAGGGGAGATGATTTTATTAGAGGCTTACTGTGTGGACACATTGAATACAGTTACATATCACATACTAACCCACAGACACCCTACAAAGGTTTTCAATAGCACAGAGTGGCAGGACAGATGTGGACAGCTCCCCAACCCCCCAGAAGAAGTGCCGTACTCAGCTCTTAGTGCCTGTATACTCTTGGGCTGCAGCTGGCCATTAGAGAAAAGCCTCTCCATTGCTATCCACCATTACTATCCTGTTCCCAGAACTCTGCTTCGATCTGGGCAAACCCCACACTTACAGCCATAAATGCATTGGCACTGAGAAAGGCTGCTGAGGATGTGGCACTCCGGGTGTGGCTTTATTTGTCACTTCACCAGGTCAGCTATTTAGGCCTAGTCTTCTCCATTGGCTTGAAGCTCTGTTCACACCATCTTGGGTAACACATCACATTATTCTTCCTTATAAAAACAAACAAACTCAAGTGAGCATTCAGAGTCAGTTCACCCTCTGGACATCCCTGTCTTCCCCTGTGATTTATGTGGCACAGTTTTAATCCCACCCCTGAAAGGCCCCCTTACCCTCAAGTGAGAATTGGCCAGCTGCCTTCCTCCACTCTTCAGGCTTCCCATCTTCCTCACCTCTGCAGATGTGCACGGCCCCAGGATCTCAGCCTGCTGGCCACCACTGAGTCACCAAGAGCATAGCACTGCAGTACCTAGCACTAACCACCATCAACTACTGCTGCAAGTCCAATTACTGCACTCCTCACTTCCCACCCTACAAGGAAACTCAACTGTCCCATGAAGCTGGGCCAAAAGGAAAAGCAAATGTTTTCTTACTTACAATGGCTCCCCTCTAAACCAGTGCATCCGAAATTTATACAGTTCTAGAGAACAGGAGCTGGATACATTCGTTCCTGTTCGACTCTGTTCACAGCAGCCAGTTTCTAAAGGCATTTGTGCAAGAACTACAGTCCACTTCAGTGCAATACACTGCCCAAGTTTAAAATTCGTGGCCGAAAATAAAACTTACAATGTAATAAGGCACACGTTTCATAACTGAGTGTGGAAACAGGTATGAAAAATAATCAGGCCTTCTGAAGAACTCAGCAGAAAAGCTGGTTTACCAAACTCCTATAGTTGCCTTTTCCTTTCCCCACCCCACCTGCAAGTGTAGACCTTCTCAAGTTCAGCTGCCAATGGTCAGACTACAGTCCCTTACAATAAACTGACGGTCTGATCACTTACAACCACATTGGGCAACATGCAGAAAGACTTTGTGGAATCAGAGTTGGAGTTAGAGCTAATACAGACAGGAAGGAAAAATGGAATGCCTTATCAAAACTGAGGATTTCTATCCTTCATGGATGGCACAGGATTTGATACATACGTCTACACTGACGTATACCATAGGGGCTTTTTTGTTATAATCTGTTTGTTAAGTGATTTAGCCGGAGAATCTTATATAACACATTCCTGTTTTCAATGTAGCAACATGTATAGCATTGCACTCATAAAATTCAGACTCCCCACAGTATGTCCCAATCATTCTCCCTTGTAAGATTCTATGTAACTGATGAAAACACAGGCACTACCACCAGCAATAGTAAAAAAAAGAGTCAGTAATCAGCTTTAGCCTATATTCAAAAGCTAGCATTCTGTAGCATGATTTCAGATAACCATTTCACTCTGATTTTAATAGGCTGCATGAGCCTGACCTATGGGGGAAAGTAGTCCAGTTTTCCAAGCCTAAACACACGTGAGTCTGCCTGGGTCTTCCAGGGCAGAGTATAGGAACACTATCTATTGCCTCTGCACTGGGGTGTTTTGTGACCAAACACTTGCATCTTATTTCCTTAACAAAGAATCAGGAGATCCGCACTGCTTTTTTGGCCCCAGAAAGCACATAATACAGCTACAGCTTAGGAACTTCCATTCACACTAGCTCAACAAACAATGTGTATTATATAATGAATGAGTTTTTTTCTATGAACCCTGCTAGAAAACAGGCACTTTCTGCATAGTTTAAATCACTCTATAAGGAGCTGTTACCTCTTGTGAGATCAAACATACACCTGGTATCAGAAATCCAAACAGCCTACACTCTTAGATGCTTTTGCTATCACTCTAATGTCCTTGTTACTTGACAATAAATAATTTCAGTTAACTACAAACTATACAGAGAACATTTACACAGCAGCCTGCAAGCAACCGAATGATGTTGGCTTTCAGCTCCATGTTCCCTGCGTTGCCTAAGAAATGGGGGTGGGGGGATTGTGGGAGGAGGAAGAGGAGGGGAGAGAGAATCAGCTATCTATGAAATACTTACAGCCTCCGAGTCTTCAATTCCATGCAGGTACAAATTGTCATACATGGAGGTCTGATAATCCAGAGCACTTCTTTTAAGGCAAAAACAAAATTGCTGCAGAAACCACAGCCAGAGCTAAAAGAGAAAAGGCCTGTCTGGAAGAATTGCACTTCTCTTATCAATTCCTGTGGCTTTACCAGGCAAGATGCTATTCATTCACATCACACAGGGTGAGGTTATCCTCAGAGGCAGTCCAGACCTGGCATTTTATCTGCCTTCCCAATACAGAGCATAAAAAGCAAAACCCTTCCTCAACCACAGACTGGTGACTGAGCTAGGAAAGCAGCCTCTGATTGGCTCGGCTTCCCTGCTTCAGTCAGCTGAAGAGCGTTCCCTGGGAGAGTGGAGGGTGACTCGGAGCATCCTACCCAGCAAAGAGCTGCTTCCTGTTTTGCCTGTATTATCAGTTCTACAATAAACACTTCTCAGTATCCAAAAGGCTGCATGAAATGTTTGGAAAGGCAGGCTATTGAACAGTCTAAACACAACTACTCATCTTCTTGATTAAATTCACAATTTGAGTGGGGAGCTGAGGAGAGGTTTTATTTTCAGAGAATACTGTGTAAAGACAGACGAACAGATACTAATCTTCATCCAACATCTGTACTTAACAGTTGTGATTTAAGTAAAAAAGGCAGTAAGTCATATAGAATTTTTTTAACTGCCATAAAGGAAAAGTAGATAGGATAAACATATGGTAAGACTTCCTGAGGGAATTTCTATAGTAAAAGTTTTCAGTATTCCCACTGAAGTCTCTACATCACTGGCAAGAAAATACCTTTGTTTCACAACTAGTGAAGTTTTAAAAGGGTGCCAAAAAACCTCTCAGCTCTTAAATGTAAAATTCTTGAATGACTTTTTAATTTGTTTAACCTCCTTTAAGTAACAGCCAATTGCTTGCTTTATCCTTCATCTGCTTTCCTATGCATAAACCTTTAATAGTCCTAAAATAGCATTGATGTTTTCGCCAAACTCTCCTATCCTTCTGTCACACCACACTGAGGTTGATCTAGGAAAGATCCCACATCCAGGCCGCCTGATATATAGTCTCCCTAAGTACAGATACTTATGGCTTTCTGGTCAACCAATAACATCCTGCAGCCTTGAAACAGAAGAGTCCTACAACTCATTCAGAAAGAAGTCACCTAAATTTGTGGGGAAAAAGAAGTTGGTGAGGGGCAAAGAATGTAACTTACACAAAGTCCGTGAATCACCAGGGTAAAAAAATGACCCAGAAACTCAGAGACTCTGAGCCTAGTATGTGCTTCATCACTAATTGGTCAGATGACCCTGGTCTAGTCAGTCACCACCTCTATGGGCTTTAGGTTTTTCACCTGCCAAATTGAGGTAAGAAAGAACTCAGAGAAAGAACCTTGCAAATTTGAAATGCTACATAAAAACTTATCAATCACAACCCTGATTTGTCAGCTGAAAGGCTTGGCTGCAGTTCACAGGACCTCAGCAACTGGATAAGCCTGGACCCAAGAAATGAGGCCTGTCCTTCTGGCCAGTATCTCTGAAAAGCGTAAGTCTTAGAGGAACAACCCTGAGTCACAAAATGCAACCCAAGAGCTACTAATGCTCAGTAAAGTGTATACTATCAGTATGTGCTGACATGATAATGTCTCTCAGTCACAGCTGGACATCTCAGAAATGGCGCCAATACTTAATCACTTCCAAACATAACAGATGACAAGTGGACTCAACTGCCCTTCACAATCCCAAAATAGAGTTCATACAAGTTGGCATCTTTGAGGCTATGCCCACATAGAAAGGGAATGGCAGATGAGTCTGGGTGCAATCAAGAGGATTCCATAGAGAGAATTCCCACACCCGCTCTACCTGTTGACAACTGTGTGTGTTGGATCAAGTGCAGAACCTCAGCATCCCCACTCCATATAGCAAGCAGACTGAGTCAAAGGATTTGTGAGCTCCAATTCATGTATCAGACTGTTACTTTTGTTTTGGCGACAGGGTCTCACTATGTAGTTCAGGCTGGCCTTGAGCTCACTATGTAGCCCAGGATGGCCTCAAACTCACAATGACCCTCTGCCTCAGCCTCCCAAGTACTGAGACCACAGGCGTGTGCCACTGTACTTGGCTCCAGACTGTTATTTTAATCAACTCTCTAACTATAGCCATACAATGTTTTAGCCAAAATCTACAGAAAATTGAGACAAGGTCTTTTTTCTCCTAAAGTTCTCCAGATTATGTCCTTACTTTGCCACTTCAATTAAGAGTACAGTATTTCCTGATTATTTTAAATGGGAATCTATTAAAGGGAGAAGAAAGAACCAGTCCACTTGTATAATTCACCAAAATGAGAAAAACTATTCCCTGCTGGGAGAACTGTATGTGGCTCAAATGCTCTTCTGTGTTAGTCTGTCTTGGAGTGCTCCCTACAGTTCATGTGAGGGTCGAAAGGGAGTTTCTTTTTTTTTAAAAAAAAAAAAAAGGCTTGTTTCATGATACACTAACGTGCACAGAAAGTGAGTGTGACTCAGGGTGGGAATGTCCACAGGGAGGCACAGAACCAATCACAGCAGGTATTGTTATCCTTGTAAACCTACACCCAACTCCTCGAGGATAAGAACAGATGTGCAGCAGGGGTAGTCTCTGCCTGCTTCCCAGGAACTTAGAAAATGCTGGACTGACAGTTAAGGAACTCCCAAGAGGAACTCACCTAAACCCAGACCTTTTGATAACCAGAAAGATTAAACTGCTTTATTCAAAGGTACATGTTCTACACAATTTGAATGTTCCTTCTTCACTGCACTCTTGATGCATCTTTTAAAAGAAAGGATCAGAGACAGCATGCATGTTACCCAGAGGAACTTGGTGAAATAAGAAACGTCACCTTGGAGGAGAAAATCCTGGTCTTCCTCATTCTTTCCATCCTAAAAATTGTCTAATCAAAGTCATTTGGTTACCCACAGATGACAGCTAAAAATTACAGATTGACCTAGGGTCTAACCTTAAGGTTTGGATCTGCACAGAATAAACACCACATTTACAAACTACCTAAGGGTTTCAACCCAATGCCTGAGCTGATCCCAGGGTTCCAGAGGAACCTCAGTGAGATTCGGTTATAAGTGTCCCCCAAAAAACTCTGAGGATTTCCCAGAAAAGTGAACTCAGAACTTTAGAGATATTATGGAACTGACCATCTCTGTTCCAAGATTCTCTGCATTGAGCCCTGAGAAGTACTGAGAGGTCCCTGGGAGCCTCCTATTTCAGAGCATCTCAAGTCGCCAGATTTTGGTGAAAAGCTCCAGTGATTCCAGTACATTAAATAGTAAGGGCCAAATTTCAAAGATATCCTATTCCACTGCAGCAAATGGTGAAAAGCAACAAGGGACTGGCGTTGTCTTGCTTTTGACCATAAGATTATCCAGTTGACTTGGTGGTGATTAAGACGATGAAAGAGAAACCATCCTTTCCTTTGATCTTCTTTGCTCTCCTCAGACTAAAATAAGAACAATTCTAAAAATTCCATGGCTCATCTCTCATTGCTGTTTCCCAGTAAGTCACCTACTGCTCATCACTGAGATGCTTCCAAACCACACGCCTCAAGGAGCCTGCCTCCAATTCTGAGTTGCTCCCTTTCTTGACTATGTTTCTGACCCATTTCCTTTCAAGCCATCTGTAATTACAATCAATGATTCAAATCAAAAGATCCCATGAAAAGCCATCACCTGTATAAATCTGTATCTATAAATCTCACATGATTCTTGGTAGGGTGATTGTTCTTACAATTAGACAAATGCCTCAAAGGACCTCAATTCAAGGAACAAAATGACTTGGGGCTCAATAAACCAGGAAAACTACTCAGTATCATAGGGGAACATGACTTTGTTAGTCTTTGCTGGCTTCAAATTTTGGAATAAGGAGTCCCTTTTATTGCTCTGTACTACAAACAGCAAACCTAAGGATGTGACAGGACAAGGATTGTACACAGGACAAAGACAGCACACAGTTCAAAGATTTCTGTGTTCTACTTATTCGGAAAGGGAGAGGGAGATGGACAAAAAAGGCAGGAGTGAGATGATTGGTTATGAGTTGCAGATACCCATGATCAAAACAACAGGAGCAGATTTAGAAACAAAATAAAAATTTGCTATCCAATTTTCCACCCAGGTTTCTCTGGAATTTAACTCTGTTAAGCCAGTGAAGTTATATATTCTATAGCAGGATTCTGAGAGGTCAAAGAAGAGGCAAAAAAATTTAAAAAAAGGTTTGTAGTTGGCAAAGACAACTTTTTGGCTTTTTTACAATGTAAGCCCAAAGTCTTTGCTTGCCAATTCAGCCTCAAGAATTATTTTGTTCTTAGCTTTTAAGTTTTACTAAGTGACTACAGCACACTAGATGATTGCTCCTCTTTTGCTTTGCAAATTCCAGTTGACTCCTTCACCTTGAGAAATCTGTATGGCATTGTGAGTGTTAATATCGTACCCATTTCCTCCTTGATGCCCTCAGACAGGTGGTAGCAGGAGGGCAGAGGAATGAAAACAAAACAAAATCTACAAACGACAGATTCTCTGCTTCTAATTTTCTTCTGTTACAGTCCCTTGAGTCTGAGTTTAGATCTCCTCACTACCTAGGCAAATATGTCCTCAAGCTCCTCTGGGCCTCACCTATAACATGGTAGGAACAATAATTTAAAAATTAACACATTAGTATGTAAAAGACACAGGGAAGAATAAAAGAATTGACTTTTATTTTTAAGGGAAGCAATACAGAACCAGAGCTGGCTGCACTGCCCAGTGCCCCCCTCCCACCCCCACACACACCCTCCCTGGCACTTTGCAATGGAAATACTATGGGGCAGGGTGACTAAGAGCAAGGACCTCAAAGCCAGACTCCCTGCTATGTCAGCTCTGCCATTTGCTGGGTAATACTCAGCAAGCTACTTTACCTTCCTCTGCCTCCATCACCTCATTTATAAAATGAAGATTATACCAACCTTCCTGCACAAATGAAAAGCCTTGATATAAGAAAATGCTTAAAAGGGTGAGAGCCACAGTCAGTGCTTCACAAGCATCAGGCTGCTGCTTATGGCTTTCAGGACCTTTCTCAGCCTGGATTCAGGCCTGACCTAGTGGCAACCCTTACCTCAGGGGTGGGATTCCTAATACTGTCCCCTGACGCAGGCCTGGTCCTCTCAGTCCCCACCTGGGCCCTGGTCTCCGCCTCCTGCCTCCTGCTGCCCTCCTTAGCGTCACTCCAGCTCCTTCCA